AAATAGAGGCATTTCCTGCAAAAAGCAGGCCTTTGTTTATAGCCACTGCACAGCATTCTCTGTTTGCCAGTATTCATTTCAGTCATGGGAGATTTAAAGTGTTAATTTTGTACAGAAATGATTAAAAATATTTTTGCCTATGATTTCCCAAAATCGTGACAAGATTAAAGTGGTTTTTGTGTTCATTTCTTTTGCAGTGGTCTTGAAACGGTTTTCTGCTGTAGCCCAAGCTAGCCTTAAACTATGTATGACATTTTACCTTCCTCAGATGTTCAGGTCTCAGGGTTACAGTTGTCAACATGCCCATCTTGTGCTTATTGTTGTTAATATTTAGAATGTGTGTGTGTGTGTGTGTGTGTGTGTGTGTGTGTATCTCCTATCTGTTAGTGGTAAGCTAAGGTTTTAAGTATTTCTGAAGATAATCAGTTAAGTTCTAAGACATTAAAACCACATTCAGTAATCTTAAAAATATTTAGTATCTTTAGATTCTTCTGCTGGGCATGGTTAAGGGGTTTCGTTGCTGGTGACTTTTTAAATTAACTGAACATGGTGTTCTTATCTGCCAGGCCTTGCCACAGATTAGAAAGTTCTCCTTTCTGCTGATGAGGGTGGAACGCTTTTCAGTTTAGAGACTTCCTGTTGAGCCAGAGTTACTCCTTGTAGAACCTTTGAATGGCAGTAAAAGAAACTGGAATACTGTAAAAAAAAAAATGAGTTTTAATATATTACTGTTAGGATTCACTAATTAGAGGTTCTGTTTGAGGAAAATTGTTCTTTTCAAGTCTTTGATTTTTATATTTTATTTCTTGGTGCTTAGGACTGAACCTAGAGTGATTTATCTAGAACACTACTTCTGGCCAGAGCTATATGCCCAGCCTAAATATACATCAGGCTAAAGACATACTTATTTAACTAAAACATCCTCTAATGGGTGTACAAAGGTACCTTTCCCTTTTCCATTAGGAAGCAGGAGAATGAAAGCCAGTACTTTGTTGGGGGTGAAAGATGTAGATGGATTGACTCACCCCCTTATGGCTATTTGCTGTTGTGGTCCTTCCTTACTAGTTAGCTTCCAAGTGCTTCACTTGCAGATACCTTTGCATATGAATTCAGTCCTTTAAAAGGATTAACAGACCCACCCATATTGCATACGGCAGTCTAAATTTACCAGGGTTTATCATTTAAATGTTTCTCTTTCTAGCTTCAAAGGAATATTTTGGCATCTAATCCCAGAGTCACAAGATTCCACATTAACTGGGAAGATAACACAGAGAAACTGGAAGATGCAGAAAGCAGTAACCCAAATCTACAGTCCCTTCTCTCAACAGATGCATTACCTTCAGCGTCAAAGGGATGGTCCACGTCAGAAAACTCACTCAGTGTCATGTTAGAACCCCACATGGACTGCCTGTGACCACGTGCCATCCCATTAGTACAGATTAAGCTATTAAAAACAGAACTATTTCCCTGAAGTTCCGTAAGTACATAGTCAACGTGAAATGTGAAGAATTTGTTTAAAAACATCCTGTAGAAAGTTTATAAAACCAGTATTTGAGCAAATTGTGGAATATAAATACAACTATTTTTAAGTACTTTTTTCTCTAATGTGTTATTTTATTTGTTCATGAAACTAATCTGATTAAAGCATATATATTATTTTCTTCTCCTTTATATGTAATTAAAGCACTTATAAAAAGAAAATACCAATTATTAGACCAAGTTGTGAAGATGTTTTAGCCTCTTGGACAATAATACTTTTTATTAGCCTTTAAGAACAAAGTTTACTTCAACAAAAATGTTTTTTCCTGTGAAGAAAGTGTCCTTTTAAGGAGCAAACTTACATCCTATAATAAAAAGATGTCTTTAAAAAGGGAATCTAAAATCAGTTACACACCACCAGGGTTTTTCTGGGCTACCACAGTGTATCTTGTGGCAACCACCACAGCTTGTTTTACACTCAGACTTCTGGTTTTACATACCAAATGTGGCTGGCTCTGAGGTCTCTCTCACTATAGTGTATGCTTCCCTACTTCTAAAACTGAGAAACCATGATCATAAATCATTGTCCAGAGATTTCAACATGCCAGGAGCAAATACAAGTCTTTAAACTGTAAGATTATATTACAGTGGCTCAGATCTGCTCGCTCAGTTTAAAGAAACTCTGAACTTGTGCGGTACTGCCATAGAGAGTAATTCAGAAAGGTATATCTATCTTTATCCTAATAGGCTGACTACTTTAGGAAGTATGTCTTAAAGTTTTTCGGCTATAATACTCCATATTCTGTGGATCTCAGTAAGGTGTAAGATCAAGGCATGTCTGTAGCTGACAAATTCTAGACAGCTTTTTCCAAACTTTTTTTTTTTTTAATTCACCAAATAAATGGGCCAAAGGCTTATTTTCTTTAATGAGAAATATGTACTTCCCCAAGGTTTTGATCCATTAAATTTATAGCAGAATATTTTCATTTGGCTTTTAGTGATGATATGCAGAATTGCCATAGGATGCAATTCATGCAGTGCCTTCACACCTAAATTTTTATACTGTACTTCTAAAAGCAGTTGAGGAAAGGAAAGGGCATTTGTTTAAATACAGTCTCTTAAGTTGTACATATTTCTGGCTATTTTAAAAGGTGAATTTGTGAAACAAAGTCTTATTAAATGTTAAGCTTTGAAATTTAATATTGCCAGATTATTACAGTATTATCCATTACCCACTTCATAGATTTTTAAAGAAAAAAATTGTTCTACTAAAACTATTTGAAAAATAATCTCATTTTTGTTTAAATGCAGTTAGGAGAAAATGTTAAAATGAGGTCATTGATGAATACAGTAGGGGTAAGTTTATTAGAAATGAAACATAAACTAAATCACCAAGTAAAGCAATTCATTGGGGCTACTTAGTCTGATTATAATCATTTTGTAATGATATTATATAGTTGGGTTTTTATATCAATTTTTAAATATAGAGCCCATTGTCACAAAAGTTTGATACACTAAAACTATTGCCTTTTATTATTTTAAATCCTACTGCTCTATAGAAATTAAAAATAAAATAACTGTATAATAATAGAAACATTTAAGTATTAAGAACTAAGGAACTAGCATATGCAGGGAGTTACCTTCTGTTCACCTTCATTTACAGACCTTATGTCTAAATTATAGCTAAAAGGCTTCTGTCCCCCAAACCCCCTTTCCTATGTTTTGGTTTTTTGAAATAGGATCTCTCAACATAGCTCTGGCTGTCCTGAACTCATTATGCAGACCAGGCTGGCCTCCAACTAAGAGATCACTTGCCTCTGCTTCCTGAGGGCTGGGATCAGAGGTGTGTGCCACCATGCCCAGCACTAATTTCCTCATTTTGCTCAGAGTAAAGTCTGGAGAATACATACACATACACACACACCATTCATACGACTAGAGAGCCAGGTGAATAGGTTGTGAAAGTATCATTTGAATTGAGGAAACATTCCAGAAATCTGAGGAATCATATATGCATTTGCTCATTCACAGCCTTGTCTGACCCTTAATTTCTATTACTGTTTTATCCTAGTTTTAGGGTCTAGTTTTTTGTTGTTGTTGTTTTAGGGTCTAGTTTTCCTAAGAAAGTTTTACTATTGGGGCTATCAACATGGCTTGGTGGGTAAAGGTGCTTGTTGCCAAGCCTGACTACTTGAATTCAATACCCAGGATTCACAAGGTAGAAGGAAAAAACTAACTTGTACAAGTTGTCATCCAACATCCGTTATGTGCACACACACAAAATAAGTAGATAAAAGGTAATACAAAATTTAAAGAAAAGAAAGACTATGGCATTGTTTTATATCATAATCCATAGTGTAAAATACAGCATGACCCTGCCACACAGGTATACATTTATGTAAATTTTTCATAGAAGTAGCTCTTCACTGTACCTTTTTGTGTGAAGCCTCACTCATGGATTACAAGAATGATGAAAGGCCACTGACATCTTTTGAGTGGGTAAGAAGCAGCAATAAGTTTCTACATTTCTATAAAATCTTTACCAATCTTTTCTCACCTTTGGATTATATCTTGACATTTAAAATGTGGTAAATGTGCTAACTCACTTTACATTTTCATTAACACTTTGAAGCCACAGCCATTAAGTGTCACACTCCTTACAAGATGGAATGTTTTTTGACACTCACATAACTGGTTAGGAGTTGTCTTATGTAATTCCTCACATACTGTCTTGCTGAGGGTAGAACACACGCTCGGCAGTAAGGATTTCAGGATGTACAGGCAGTGCTCTTTCCAGGCCACTCCTTCTCTTGGTGTTCTCATTTCACAGACCCTATCCAATCAATACAGTGCTTAAAGTCCTTACATGGGACTACTGGGGGTTTTTCTTTTGTGATGAATTTCCAAGTCTAAGTGTCTTGTAAGACTACACAAGTAAGGTTATCTTAACATGTAACAACACTTGTAAAATATGTGAAGCCAAACTCCTATTTTTAGAACAGGAGAAATAAAACTGAATGTAGAAAACATCAAGACATTTTAAAAAAAAATTTTCCCTAAATTTCTTGTCACTTTATAACTAGATATTGACAGTCTGTCTGTAAGAGCTTTTAAATGTACTTGCTGAAGAATTCTTGACAATGTATGAACAAAATCTTAGTACATATGTGAAAATATACTTTCTAAATGGGAGCCACTGCTATCCATGAAAATGCCTTAAGCTATATGCCATCTACCCACTTTGTAAATGAATTTCCCTATTCTGGTGTTCTGCTTGGTAGATCTTTGTAAAATGACATCTTTACATTTTCCTACAGAAAACAAAGTTCCAAACAGAGGACATGGACCTTTTTAAAATATTTTCTTACTACTACAAAAAGGATGTTATGTTTCCTTTAATTATTTGCAGTGACTCTGAAAAAACTAACCTGAAATGTATTCTACAACAGGTACATTTTCATAAGAAAATAACTGTGTTCACGTCTGTATTAATTTTAAATTACTAAATTGTCATACAGTACCTGCACTAGTCGATCCAATTCCTGTGGTCAAAACGGACCTTGGCGTAATCTTTGCTGCATATTTGAGGAATTGTGATTTCCCTGTGCCAGGATCCCCAACCAATAAAAGATGAGATTCACCTAGAACAAGCAAACATTCAAAATTCTTAAAAGAAGCTATGAATATCATATAACTAATAAAAAAGAAAGTGCCCTGTATGAAATGCCAATCATATGATATGGTGTTTTTGATATATTATATGCAAACTCTTCAAGGAAGCAGTTAACTAGAAAATCTTTAGAAAACTTAGCTGTCACAAATATAGCAATGTTTGATTACTGAATGTGACATTTAAAGTTTTCAGTCTTTTAATAGAGTATGTGCTATTTCCAGATGCTTAGGCCCATGTTTAACATTTCAAAAATCCTTGACTTATAAAAACAATTTGATTTTATCTATTTTTTAAATCCAAACTAATATGGTTAAAGCTGTCCATACAAGTCATATAAGGTTTTATTCTATTTTTAAAGTACTTCTAAATGTTGGGGGTTTTATAAGTGCTTTATACATATTAAGCCATTATGATTAAATTAACTGAATAAAAATATTTCATTTATGTAAATTCTAATAGTTTGGTGGAATATCTACCTAAAAATGATTAAGTATTCAATTTCACAGAAATGGACATATGCCTGTCCTATGGCAGATATTTTCACTGGACAAACAAATTTCTTTAGTATTAAGTATTTTCTGAATACATTAATAAGAAAACATTATTTAAGCTCAACATTTAGCAAAGTGCCTTGCAGATACCATGATTGAAATATACAGATTATAAAATGCATCTGTTTATTTGCTACTATACTATATGGTCTTAGAGGTCTATCAACAGCCTCACTTAGAGTAACGTTATTTTAGTCTTTGGGTGGATAACTGGTGATTAACAGCCTCATGCGTGTCATGCTTGCTGCACAGGAGCATTCTGTTGCATGCTTAGAGTAGTCTTTGCTTGAAGTGTGACCTACAGCAGCAATCCCTGGCAGATGGCACATTTGCTGTCTACCAGCAGGAGAATCGGCAGGCAGATGACCGTGAGCAGCAGTTGACACTCACAGACGGAGACCAGCTTGGAGATATTAAGATGCACCATTTCTAATCTCTCCCTCTGTTTTGAGACAAGAGAGCCAATTTTGTAGCACCTTTACAGGCTTGTAGTATATAACTACTGAAAAATTAGAAATTTCTTTCATCTTTCTGGAGTTAGAGAAAGTAGTTTCTGATAAATATGAATATAGACTAAGTATAAAAAATCCAGTTATTAGAAACTACATTTAGAAAAGAAACAGATATATGGTAGCTTTTAAAATTAATACTGTAAGTTAGTATAGAAAGTAATGGGTTTTATTTCGGCATTTTCAAACATGTGTATCATATAACTCCCCCCCCCCAACAGTTTTTGTTCAAGAAACAAAGTTTGTCTCTTTCCCTGTACATGTTAGTATTTCTCAAAATGGGTCAGTCAGTATGTACTGACCTCTGACCCTTGTTCCTGCAGCGTCAGTTCTTTGAATTCCACCAGCCAGTACCATGGCCACAGCAAGCTTTACTAGATACATCCCAAATACTTGAGGACACAAGCTGGCCAGTATTTCATTCCTCCCTAGGAAGTGAGAAAGATCCAAAATTATCAATAGTTCTGTCAATTTAAAATTATAAAGAAAGCCAAGTCAAATGAATAAGGCTCAGTAGCTTTGTTCAGGTTCAGATTTTCTTTTTCATTTCTGGTTTCTGAGATGATCCTGCAAAATAGCCAAAGGTGGTTTCAAATGTGCAAACTTTTTGCCTCAGTCTCCCAAGGGTTAGGACTACAGATATATGCCAACGTACTGCACTAACCTTGGTTAGGGTCTAAATTTAGTGCCATGAGGAGTGGTTTCTTTCCTGGGTGCTATCTACTCAAGTTTCTATAAATTTGTCATACTGAATAAAAGGAGTTTCTTTTTCTTTTTCAACTTTTAGCTATCAAGCCAGCATTATCCCTTAACATAATGCAGTCATATGTTCTCTGGTAACATCTCTAAAATCTCCCCACTACTTAGCTAAAAGGAAAATATTCAGCCTTGGAAATGAGGCATTATAATAACTAGTAACTTTTACAGAGTTGAGCTGGGGCTTGTGGAGCTTCTCAAAGTACAAGAGAGTAGTTAATTCACCTTGCAAGTTACCTGGACATGTGTTCTGATTGTTTGGGAAATTGTTTCATTTGGAATAAGTTACTGTGGTATCAGCATATTAAGGTCATTGCAAAATACAACCCCAGTAATTCAAGGTGATGATTATGAAGTCCAATTGTGTGCTTTAAATAAAAGCCCCAAATCTGGGACTCATTTTAGTGTATTCATAAATAAAGCATTTTATGTAGTCACTGTCTGATCAGTCTACAAGATTCTAATAGTCTTCCCTGAGCCTTTCCCATGTACAAAGACTACTTTTTGTAATGAGTCAGAATCATTTTTGGTTTGGCAATAAAACTTCCCACCCTATAATGGCTCAACATTGACTCTGGCAAGTCCTTGGTGGTGATAAGCCCTAAAACAGCAGGAATAGCAAAGAAAATTCTTTATTAAAGGAAACCAGATAGAAGATGTAGTAAATTAGGAAGTATATTAACTACTAGAGGGAAGCTTTCCCTTTCTAGATGGAAAGCCTAGAGAAAAGAAGTCAGGGCTCTACGTCTGGAAGACAAGATCCTGACTAAAATCCAGTGGTTACACACAAAAACAGAATGGACCCAAGAAACATGTTCAAGAGTGAGCCCAAGTTATCACGTGCTGGCAGGAGCTATACTCCAGTGGTAAAGTGCACAGGCTATAGTATCCAGCCTAGACATAGGTCCCAGTGCTTATCTTGGGCAAAAGCTTCCCTCGTCCATGGCTTTGTCATGGAACACAATGCATTCAGACCCTTCCAAATTTCCAGTTTTAGACCATGTTATTAGAGTGTCTGTGGCCAAGTTTCCTATTTAAATGTCATGGCCCTCAGTTAACTTACAGAAAACCTTTCCGTTATAAGATAACCGAATCAGCACTGTATGAGTTCAAATGATTCAATACACCCAGGTACTATGCTTGGGATTCTGTCACTGCCTACACTTTCAGGAGCCAAGTTAAACCACAAGAGGAGCAGCACTGGGCTGCAAGAGAGATACACTCTGGATACAACTTCTCTTCTCCATTCCAGCAAGACACACACAACTTCAAAATGGTCAAATATATCAGGAAAGTAATATACTAGTAAATATACTAGGAAAGTATATATACTAGTAAATATACTAGTAATATACTGGTAAATATACTAGGAAAGTAAAAGGGATGGGTTCCTTTATATTAAAAAATGTTGCCTAGCTTTCATGGTGTCTTCCCAACTTACAAGGTTATTACACTTATTTCCTCCTTTATCTGACAGACGAGTTGTATAGCTACAACTTCCTAATTACCAGACAGATCTTCATTCTTCAGCACAAAGAATTTAGGAATATATAGGGAAGAGTATGGTGTAATGAAGGCAGATGAGCTATGGCACTGGAACAACTAAGGAATGAACACGGTCCAAAGAAGCATTACATATTCTTATAGGGACCTGAACCTAAGAACAGGCAGTCAAAAACTGCACGTAAAAGTGTATGCTTGTTAAGTGTTTGCTAAGTGAAGCCACAGTGTAGGGAACTTTGGGCTCTTTTCTACCCAGGCTACATAAAAGGAAAATCAAGGAACACTACTCATGTATTATACACAGAAGATATTTTTAAAATCCCCCCCCCCCACACACACACACAAAGCAATCCACATATAGACAAATGGAAGCCTTATTTTGTGAAATACTTTGGCTTGTGACTTGAGAATAAAATAATATATATTAGATTGGAGATTAAGGTTTATTTGTCTCAAGAAACCTCCAGAGAAGAATGAAAACAAGATTTAATGTTTTATACATGTGGGATTTTTTTTCAATAAAAACATGCTTTCCAAACCCAAGGCTGTGATGTGTTATTCTATGTAATACAGAATTATTGCTATGACAACAAATTCGTTCTGTGCACTTTCCATTAGTATTTTACACTGACTCCCTATTTCAAAAATCCTCAGCTAACACAGTCTTTATTTCAGAATATGCTAGAGAACCATGGATTTAATGTATAATAGCACGAGGACTGGCCTTTGTTTAGTATCCAGCAACCACATGAAAAGCTGGGCATGGAAACACATGCTTGTAATCCCAATACAGGAGAGACAAGTGATCCCCAGGGCTCACTGACCAGCGAGTTGAGCCTAAAATATGAGCCTTCTATCTGAGTAAGGACAAGGAAACAGGTGATGTCTCTTGAAGAAAAACACAAAATACACCTCTGACTTTCACTTGCATACACGGTTGTGCACACAAACACACACAATAACAAAATCTCAATGCCAGAAATGGACCTGAAAGGAAGACTGCTATTAAAGATGACTAATGATACTCCTTCAATAAAGCCACTGTCTTACACAGCACATAAGCTGTCTGCAAGCAATATCCCATTTAACTACTGAGTTGAATGCAGTCAATTTTGATGAGCCTTATGCCCTTAATCACAAACCTGCAAAGGGGTCACTCTTATAGTATTCCCAGAAGTCTTCAAATTCTTTTCGCATGTCCTCATCCATGACCATCCCTGAGGACTGCTCATTGTTCACTTGGACATAGTTGGCTTTCAAGACGATCTCCACTTCACAGCGCACATTTCGCTGAAAGGGTTTCCACCGTTGCATTACAACCCCATAGATGGTGAGGTCATCTCCTAAGGAAAGCACCACATTAGTCTAGCAGGAATACTGTGCATGGTGGCTTGGCATTGAAGCACTTGACAAAAGACCAGAAATTAGAAATAAGCCTCAAACATTTCTTCCAAGTACACACGATCGTTCGGAAAGCAATTAGGAATTTTAGATCAAAACACCTCAGATTCGCAACCTCCAAACAAGAACTTGTTTCTGAATATGTAAAGTCAAAAGCATTTTTTAAATCTGCTATATAATAATCACTCAATTATTACCGTTTATTAAGAATAGTATTAGATTTTTACCAACATGTTGGGTGTGACATATTTATTCTCTCAGAAACTCTAATCAGCCAGAAAGTAAAACTGCATTAGCTTGGAATTTGGGAAAAGAAACAGCCTTGTGCTGTCTGGCTTGTACTTTAGTTTCTTATGCATTCATTTTTAGATTGTCAATATTTTACCTAGTCTCCCACTTTTTACAATGAATTATAATAGATCACTGGATTCTGATTGTATTTCAAAGCATTAAAAGACAAAACAAAAAAACAGCTTGTGCCTTAGTTATTCCTACCTGAGGACTAACTGGTAGGCAGATTATCATACTTTTATGTTCTCCTAAAAGACTCTGGGCAACTTCTAGGAACATTTACTAAGCATTGGTGACTGATCATACCACATACAATGTAGTGTGTAACTTAACAAATATTTAAGAATGACATCCATTATTTTAGGACTATAAAAAAGGGGACCAAAAACAAAACAATAATTTCATAAACTTAATCCCCTAAATTTCAGTCATCATTAACGCAGGATGTCAAATATATCTCGAGCCTAATCTTAGTATTTATATTTTGTACAACAAACACCATCTTGCAACAGGCAATTATTCATGTCCAAGACTGCCAATTAGATGTTTTTGTGACACAAAATGCTTTTCACTGTCTAAATCTCTTTGAGTGATACATAATCTGCAGAGCTTTTGATTTCCTGGAGAAAGGTTCCTTAGGTGCTAACCATTAAAAATGGCGGTGCTAGTGTATACACTACCAGGCACATTTCTAGCAAAATGCAACTTCATGCCAAATGAGGACAAACACAGTACATGTTTGTTTTATACATGTGTTTCCAAGAGTTTTCACAGGCCTTTCAGGGTCAATCTAGAATAATGGCGTCTTACTGTATTTTCTCTTAAGTTTTTAGATGAAAATAAGTGGAATAAATTTACATGAACACTTGCTTGAACACCTCTTATTATCTCAATTCTAGCAGACTATACTGAGGTTCTTTCTGCATTCATTAAATGAGGAACTTAACTTTAGATATAGTACCCATTAGTAAAAATCAGACTTCGATAAGCAGTGATTATATGTAAAACAGAGTAATGAAGAGTGGCCAGTCTCATTAGGACGTAGTCATGATACTATGATGAAAACTAGATCATGTATAAATAAATATATATAAATTATATATATTATAATAATATATAAATTGATAGAATCTCAACTTAAGTATTACCTATTATGCTAAAATTGCCTTGCATTTATAGAGCATCTAAAAATACTTAAATACATAAATGGTTTCATATATTTAATATTTATTGAATGGCAGATTCGTGTTCATTGCAGTTGTGAATTTCATGGTAACAACATTCATTGAAAATTTTTGTATTTTCCTATAGTTAATATTCAAACTATTAATAAAACTACAGCTCTTTGCCTTAAACATTCCAATCTCTTTGTGTTCCCCTCCATTCCCCAACAGCTTCAGTCCTGCGGATATCCCCAGTCAAATCCATCCCTTCGATCTTCAGCACAATTGTCAGCATAACAACCAACTTCACTGCTCTAAGGAGTGTGAATTCCTAAAGGGCAAGGACTGCACTTTCTTTCTTTTGGTTTCTTAGGTTTATAGTTACAGGTAAATGAAACAAATGGCTGTGAGCATACTGCTCTCACCTGTCCTTTATTATTAATGACATTTGAAAGAAACATAGCTTAAGATTTTTAGTGTAGACACAATTCAGTTTCAATGAACTACAAAAATTGCATCCCTCTGTTGTGGGGTCATCAGCACACAGCACAGAGAAACAATTACTCCTTTCGTTTAGGTAGCAGTAAGATTTTTAGTAGCATCTGACACTTATGTCCTGAGTCCTTTGTCCACCAGATCCACTAGCCCCTTTGGAAGATGACACTGAAGAGAGCCCTGGATCCGATGGAAGTTAGTAGTGTGCATCTATGTTCCAGTTCTGCTGCTTTAGTCTTTAAATACTGTAAGTCTAGTTCCTTGTTGGAAAAAGCAGCAAGAGCAGCAGACCACTGAGCCCCAGCTCAGCTCTTCCTTCCCAAGCCCAACTTTTCACAGGCCCTCGTTTCCTTGTCTTTAACCTTGTGGAAAATAAAAATAAATAATGACTGTTTAGAACCTTCTATGCAAACTATCACAAGTTTATCCTTGTTGGCTACATACATTAGCGCCCATCTGCAGTCCCAGTTACTGGGGGCTGGGGGGGGAGGGGGAAGAGCTGAGGACCACCCAAGACTAACCAGGGCAATACAGAAATGCCATCTTAAAAACTAAAAAGTAATTTCTTACCAGATTTGCAACTGTCCACTAGGTCATCTTCCAAAATAACCTTCATAGATCGTGGGATACTTCCAACAGACAGCCTTTGTACCTAGGGAAAACAAAAACAAAAACAAAACACATAATGAATGTACTTCACTTGATGCTAAGCATCTAAAAACATAGCAGCACTTGACATTGTTTCTATTTCTTTGATATGATTGTGTTAGGACTTAAGGAATTTTTATTGAAAATTGTGACTATTATCAGTTTAGGAACTCACTAATATGGGGCTGGAGAGATGGCACAGTGGTTAAGAGCACTGGCTGCTCTTCCAAAGGTCCTGAGCTCAATTCTAAGCAACCACATGGTGACTCACAACCATCTATAATGGGATCTTATGTCCTCTTCTGTTATGTAGGTACACATGCAAATAGAGCACTCCTATATATAAACAAATAAAAATCTTAAAAAAAAAAAAAAAAGAATTTATTAACACAAGTTGGGTGTGGTACTGTATTTCTTTCTTTAACCCCAGCTCTTAGAAGATAGAGGCAGGTGGGTCTCTGAGTTTGAAGCCAGCCTGGTCTATAGAGTGAATTCAACGATAACACTCGGGGCGGGAGGGATGGCCCAGCAGTTGCGAGCTCTTCCTGTGCTTCCAGATGAGCAGCTTCACAGCCACCCGTTGCTCCATCTCCACAGGCTCTGCAACCCTGAGCACCCAGATTCAGAGACCCACAGAGAGCCACACACACACACACACACAGTTTAAAAAAGAATTCAGCAGAACAGAGTAAAACACCAAATATGGGAACTGTCTCTCCAACTATAATCTACATTGTAGACAGTCAAAATAAATACATATTCAAACCAACTTAAACTTGATGACAAAGCTACTTATTTAGCAATGGAGAGACATTTCTTTCATAATCTCTTGCCTGACAACCTGGAGAATCAGCCAGTCCCTGGGATTACTCTTTAGTAACAGCATGATTTTGTAAATTACTGTTTCCCAAGCCCTTGCATGTAAGCAATCATGTAATAGTTGGCCGACAAGACTTGATTAGATGGTAGATGTGCCTGACCATTCTTCCTTCTTCAGTTTTCTGACCAGAATAAGGTGTCATGAAATGGAAGCCAACACCCTAGACTATAAACCACCACAGAAAAAGAACCCATGTATCAAGAATGGTGGGAAAATCCCAGCATGGAATTTCTTATAATCTCAATCTCAGCATTTAGGTGGCTGTGACAGGAGGATTACCTAAATTCAGCCTGGGATACGTGTTGTGGCAGTGTGGCATAAAGGAAAAGAAAGGAACTGACCTTTGCTATCATGTTCCCAAGAGTGGGCCTGCTTTGCACTGAAGCATTCTGATGGCCACTCCTGAACAAAGGCTGTTTCCTCTACTTACTGAACAGCATAGCAAAATGGTCTCCAAAAGGAATGAAGCACTCTTATCTTAATCTTTTATGGGCATCTCCTGAGAGAGAATACTGTTTTTGTGGCCCAGGTGTTTCAGGACAGCATGCAAAGCCACAGCCAGATATCATACCCATATATTCCTTTCAGCATTCTTCATGGACAGCAGCCCTGCTTTCAATGCCTCACTGCGTCCAGCGAATGGCCTTAGGTCTAGTCACCACATCTCACACACACACATTGTTCTGAGTCAGGGAGAAATGAGTCATGAGGGAGAAGTAGGGAATAAGTACATCACAGAGCCCAAACCATGGTAAGACTGACTACACTGTTTCTTAAGGGTAGGTTAATTGTAAATGACTGAATATACAGTATATAAGCACAATAAGTACAGAATGGTCACAGGATGGGCAAAAGTTTGAACTGTAAGGGCCAGCTGCAAACAGCATTTCTCAGAAGTTATTCCCATGCACACTGAGTTCCAGGTCAGCATGGGCTACAGAGTAAGACTTATTTAAGTAAAACAATGGAGGGATAAGGAAACTGAAGTGTAAGAACCCCATACTGAGGCGCCAAAATGCTGGCCTTGAGCTGCCTATTTCCTGATTGACATCAGAGAATAAACCTTTGATTTAATGAAAGGAAATTAAGTTCCCTTTATTTGTTAAAAAGTGACTGCGATATTTTTTTTTCCCCGACACAGGGTTTCTCTGTGTAGTCTTGGCTGTCCTGGACTCGCTTCATAAACCAGGCTGGCCTCGAATTCAGAGATCCACCTGCCTCTGACTCCCTGAGTGCCCAGTTTATGCACACTTAAAAACTGAACCAAACCCCAAACTCTGCTTGCCAACGTTTGGTGACCAGTTAAACTGACAGTTAGTCAATATGTGGGTGCTGGGAAACCAAACCCAGGTCCTCTGCAAGAGCAGCGGCAAGTGCTCTTAACCACAGAGCCATCTCTCTAGGTCCAATATTCACCTGTAAATTTTAACATGATTAAGTGGTTCTAAAATCTCATCAGTGCTCTAAAATAGTGATTATTTCATAGTGTCTAAAACCTACATTTTTATATATTTGACGTTGATCTTCCACAAAGTGAAGGTACAGGGCCATTTGTTCCCATTCTGTATTCTCCAGTTCCAGCCATTTGAGAATGAAATAACATCTCCAAATCTGTGACTTTGTTCTCATTTATGTCCTATTTACCTGCTCCTGAATTTTGATTTCCTGGTAATCCCGACATCTGGCTGGAGATGAAGACAAATCTGAGAGGCAAGTGAATTTTGAGGAATCACAGCCGTCTGTGCTTGGACATGAAGATGGCTGACAGAAGGTGTAATACTGCTCGAAGTCAGCCTTCACCACAAATACGTGTTTGCACTTGTTACACATGTAATCCCGCTCGAACTCCAGGACCTTCACCAGACTCGTTCGAATAACTGTCCCAGTGACAGATAAAAAGTGTCCCACATCCTTGGTTTTAGGGATTTGTTCCCTTACCAGTTCAGGACAAACAGGCAAACCTAATGGAAAGATGATATTGCCAACTTACACTTTGATAACAGATTCTGTGGAGTATTTTTTTCCCAGAAAATATTAACAATAATATAATTTTAGGGGGGAAATGTTTATGTCTTATATTTTACTTTACTCTGCATATGTGTGTGTGTGGGGTATACATTTGCAGAGACTGGATACTCATGTCCAGTACTTTCCCAAATTATTTCTCCATGTCGGATTTTGTGACTATGTCTCTACTGAACCTGGAGCTTACCAATTCCAAGAGACTGGCTGGGCAGCAAGCCTCAGGGACTCTCCTGTCTCTTCCTCCAGAGTGCTGGGATCATAGGTGCTCACCCCCCCCCCCAGCATTATACCTGAGTTCCACATGTGTTATAGTTTACGCAAATCTTCCGAGAATATTACATGCCAACAGCACCCTCTCATGACTTACCAGATATCCTGGCATGAAGATTCTGCTTCATAGAAAACCCCTGAAGGTCAGGAAGGGACTGTAAAATTGCCAAGGCTGACCTTCGAAGTGCACTGTCAAAAACAGTTAGGACTTCGTTGGGAAACACGGTGAAATAGTCTCCAAGTTCCATGTTGGTCTCAAAAAGGGTCATGGCGTTAACCACAACTGGGAAGTGAGCGTCTTCATCTTCTTCTTTCAAGATCAGGAGAATATCATTCTTATGGTACTCTGAAACATAGGACTCGAACACTTGACCCACCAGTGTGACCTGCTCACTGTTCATGTCGAATCCAGATTACTAAAGAGAAAGAAAGGACAGTATCATACCTTTGCTATTCAAGCTTTGCACACAACTTAACAAAAAGATCCTTTGCTGAGAAACCATCCCAGCTTTGAGGCACACTATCCTCGCAAAATAATAATACCTGAATCCAATCTTACCTAGAGATGAATTATTCATTACGGGTACATAAAACATGTGCTTTAAAAATCAGTGAAGTTGCCAGGCAGTGGTGGAGCACACCTTTAATCCCAGCACTGAGGAGGCAGGGGCAGGCGGAAGTCTGTGAGTTTGAGGCCAGCCTGGTCTACAATGCTAGGTAGATCTAGGACAGCCAGTGTTACACAGAGAAAGCCTGTCTCAACGCCCCACAAACAAACAAACAAACAAACAAACACACACCCAATTGCTGAAGATGCAGCACAAACCTAATGACCCAAGTCTGGATGGCTGGAACCTACTTAACAGGCTGGATGCAGTAGCGCACTGGATATGTAATTCCAGTACTGCTACTGTGACATGGGTGCTAGAGACAGGAATGTCGCTCAGTAGTGCAAGGGCCAACTTTCCTAGAACACACAGTGCAGATGCAGGAATGAGAGAGACCCTGCTTCAAGGTAGAAGGCACGGACCAACTCCCCAAAGCTGTCAGGTTGTCCTCTGACTTCCACCAGATGCTATAGTATATACACTCTGTCTCTCTCTCACACACACATAAATCAAAAAGAAGAAAATATTGAAGTTCTTGACAGACATAAGGAGCCCATCTCATGTTCATATACACGGTCATATCACAAATCCTAAATGCAGCTCCATATTCATTTCCTAACCCCTGCCATGCACAAGAAATTATCCTCACAAGTGAAAGAAGAAAAGCAGTAAAAAGCACCAGGCTCTCAGTGACCCAACCAACAGATCTAAATAAGACTGCTCTAGCCGAATGTGGTGGCCCATGCCTGTAAGCCAAGCACTCCGAGAGGCAGAGGCAAGTTGATCTGTGATTTCGAGACCAGCCTGGTCTACAAATTGAGCCCCAGACAGCCAAGGCTACACACAGAAACCCTGTCTTCAAAACAAAACAAAACAATACAAATAAACCAACAACAAACTGCTCTAGAAGAAGTAAAAATGTAGTATGAATAAATGCAAAAGAGAGATTCTGGACAGATGGCTCTGTGGTTAAGAGCACTTGCCCCTTTTCTGGAAGACCTGGATTTGGATGCTATTACCAATGCATATAGGGGCTCACAGCTGCTTGTACCTCCATTTGCATGAGGATATGATGCCCTTTTCAAGCCTCTGATGACACCTACACACACGTGTTGCATATAACTTTAGGTGCGCGCGCGCACACACACGCACACACACACACACACACACATATGCACACAGAGCACACAAAGGGGAGAGGTGACAAGTTCCAGAGAAGAGACTGTTAACGGCACTGGGGGAGAGGGGTCCACACTAGCTGCAATTGAGTCTTAGTTTGGAAACACAGCAAGTTCCTTAGCAAAGGTGTGCTTTCAACTAGACTTTTTTTTTTTATTCAACATTTATCATGCTCTACAAATACGATAATTGAATAAGACTGATATAAAATTGCTACAGAATATTTGATCACGCCGTGAACCCCGAGAATGTGTTGTTTACTGGAAAAACCTGACTCTAGTTGTGGTGTGGCTCAGCCCTACCACACACCTTTAATCCAAGAGCTTTCTGCCTTAACAGGATTAAATAAAATTAACCATAGGTCAAGAGGTGGAGCAAGCAACCAGTTGTCAGATGTGAACATAGGAAACAACTATAGAGAGTAAAGGAAGTCAGGAGGACAGATGGAGAGGTCCACAGGAAGTAGAAACGAGGGACATTCCGTGTGAGGTTTTCTGAGACAGCATGGAGAAGGAGTCTTCTTTTTTCTTTGGGACATAGATTGAGGAGGATCAACTGAGTGCTTTCTCTGCCTCTTTCTGAGCTAGCAGGCTTTCACTCCAGCATCTGGCTCCCCAGTCTATTGGTAAAATCCGACGACTGAGATTTCAGTTTAAAACATAAAAGTTAAAGAACAGGTTAGCATCTCCTAGCTGGATCACAATGGCTACTTATTAGCTGCACTCTGCCTTCTCTGAAGACCTGCTTAGCTAGGAAGTATGAAAGGTAAAGTTAAATCACAGTTAAGCTAAGAATACTGGCATTTACAGGATAGTATGAGATTAAGAGATAAATAAATGATTTTTCAGAGAATCAGTGAAAGTAAGTTAACTCTAAAACGATGGTTGTACAGCTATCAAATTCCCTCTCCTTTCGCCTTGCTGGGTATCTGGCATGCAAACAGATAAAATGGCTTAGCTTTAGTTCATTCGGTGGAAGGCAAGGTGGCGCCAAAAAGACGGCAGTTTGGGAACACAGCCTTGCGCGGGTCCCTGAGGCTCACGAAGCCCCGCCCCGCGGAAGCCGTGGCCACGCCCCGCCGGGGGCGCGCGTCTCGACCCCGCGTTGCGCTCCGCTTTCGGGCGCGCGCCCATTGCGCGCCTCCTGACGAGCGGGAGTCGAGCGGGAGCCGAGCGGAGGGATGCTTTCCAAGCTCGGCTTCTACTCCACAGGTGGCTGGCTGTGTCTCCCGGCCCCGCGGGGTAGTCCAGAAACTAAAGCACGCGAGCGAGACCTGACGCTAACCACGGGAGGGAAACGATCCCCGGGGCACGCGGCGGCGGTCACTTACGGGCTGACACGCACTGTCTTGGTCGCCGGGAAAGCGCTGCTCCCGCGGGTGGCCACCGCCAGCCCGCACCGTGCGGCGTGGGAGGGGGCGGGGCGTGCGCGCGGCCGCTCCAGGTCGGGGGGACGCGGCCTTACGCGGGGGCGCGCAGGCTTCGTCCGACCGCTTTCGCCCGTCCTCTGCAGGACCTGTACTTCCCGCGGACGCGGAGCCGCGCACAGTCTCAACTTTGGGCCACGGCGGCTTTTCCGGGTAGGGACGCAGGCAGGCACGCGCCCCTACCGACGCCGTCGCCCGCGAGCGGGAGGCGGAAACCCAGGGAGAGGGGCGGGACTAGAAGGGTTGGGGGCGGGCTGAGGGCGGGACTAGAAGGGTTGGGGCGGGCTGAGGGCGGGGCTTGGGGCTCGGGGCGGGCTGAGGGCGGGTCTCGGGGGCGGGCTGAGGGCGGGGGGGGGGGGCTCGGGGGCGGGCTGAGGGCGGAGCTCGGGGGCTCGGGGGCGGGCTTAGGGCGGAGTAGTTACAGCACAGGGAATTCCGGGGCTGCAAGACACGGGGAGCCCGGGGTGGGGACAAAGGCGGAGCCGTGGAGAACCGTGGTGACGTGTGAGGGCGGGCCGCGGGCGATCTGGGACTTGGCTGTGAATGGTTGGGCGTCTTTAGGTATTTTAGAATAATTGTGTGTTGGCTCTTTGGTGTTTTTCTTTGGGCTGGGGGTGTATTTAAGGGATCTGCCTACTCCAGGTCACAACAGAGGAAATTTTTCTGTATGCTTTCTGGTAAAGGTGAGTTTTTTTTTTTTTTTTTTCAGGGAAAGTCTCTGATCCATTTCGAACTAAATTTTCTAAGTGGTGTATGATGTTGTGTTAGATTTTGTTTCAGAGTTTTCCCTTTCCCAGAAGAGCATCTCGCGCGCTGAGGTTGAAAATCTCTGTGGGGTTATTATCAAACTTCATATTGTGTTCCAGTTGTGCTTATTATCTGTCTTTACGAAAACACCCCACTGTTTGGATTTCCATGTAAAATACTAAACGCTTTCCATGTACAATCAAAATCAAAACGATGCTTTTCCTCCTCACATATAGTCAGCATTGCATTGGATAAAGAAAGACAAGAAAAAGAAAATGAGAAGTACACCGACTGTATTCAGACAGAATAAAACCAGGTAGAAAATACAGTGAAATCTATACAAAGGCTACTAAAACATAAGTGTTTTTTACTGAACACAAGATCAATGTTTCAAATTCAGTTGTATTCCTCCTCTATGTTAACAAGAAACACCAGGAAACTGAAGCTTCAGTGTAACGTAAAGATAAAAATTTCACGTTTCTACCCATGTTCTTTGACTTGGAGAAAAAAATGTGACAGGGCTAGATGTAGAAAGAAAAGAGATAAAAAAAAAAATTATTGAGAGGCTGAGTGGCTCCAGATTCAGCATGAGCCTTGAAACGAGAGCAGAAACGAAGTTTTAGTTCCTGATACAGTAAGTGAAGAGGTCCGGGAGAATAGCCTACGTAAACTCCTGTTTCATATGACTTTTAGATGGTGGTTCAGTAATGTTTGTTTTAGATTCAGGTTTCATGTTCTGTGTATGTATGTGCACATGTGTGTGCCTGGGGCCAAAGGAGTTAGATGAGGGTGTCCGATCTGGAGTTGGGGGTGGTTGTGAGGTACTCTGTGGGTGCTGACAATCAAACTCGGGTCCTCTCGAAGAGCAACAAGTGCTCTTAATTTCAGAGCCAGTTCTCCAGCCCCTCATTAATTTTTTATTTTATTTTTCCAGATTTGTCCCTGTCACATTTTTTTCCAGGTCAAAGGATAGGGGAAGAAACCTGACATTTTGTTATCCTTACACATGTTACACTTAGATTTTCAGTTTCCCGGTGTTTCTTGTTAACATAGGGGTACAGCTGATTTTAAAACATTGATCTTGTGTCCACTAAAAACCACATGTTTTAGTAGTCGTGTAGATTTCACTCTATTTTCTACATTTTTTTTTCATTTTTGTTGTTTTGTTCTTTAGGACAGGGTTTCTCTGTGTGGCCTTGGCTATCATGGAATCGCTTTGTAGACCAAGCTGGCCTTGAATTCACAGCAATCTGCCTGCCTCTGCATCCTCAAGTGCTGGGATTACAGGTATGTGCCCCCTTACCCAGCTTTTATGTGGTTTTATTCTCTCTGAATATAGTCAGCTAACTTCCTTCTTATTCTCATTTGGGCACCACTTTTTTTTTTGAGTATCACAAAACTTTATTTAAAGTTTCATATGAAAATATACATACATGACCCAAGTCTACATCACAGACAGGCCCTTTGGGGAGGGATGTGGACACCCCTTCTGAACAGACATTGTTTAGACTCTTTCCAAGGCTTCTAACATGATGATGCTGTTTCCTCATCTTACCACCATCCCAATATTACTCTGTTGCCCGCTAGCTGCCCATTTCCACACACTCATCAGTCAATCACAAGATTCATGAAGGGACCAAAGCCCAGTAGTATTCCTTGTACATGTTCTGCCACCATTTAATTTCAATGATAACTTCCTGTCCATAAATTTCCCAAGTTTGGAAGGGTAGGCCTCGCTAGTGGTGACTCCTCAGCAGCTCGGCACAATGGCAAACAAGTGAGGTCTCCCTCCATTTTTTTTCTTGCCTTTTGGATCCAGTGCAAGTTGGCTAAATGTGAGTAGGAAAAACATCTTTTTGTTTTTGATGTTACATGGAAAGCATTCAGTATTTATTTTTAATTGGTTTTGCTATGTATTGAACTCAGGGCTTTACAGTTACTAGATAAGCACTCTTACCATGAGCCATACTCTTTTGTGTATGGGCTTAAGATTGACTATTAATTCCCTACTATCCATACTTTGTTGATTTTGTTAAGAATGGATGCTGGGTCACTTATCCCTGGGAGCAGAGGCTTTCTCTGACATGGACTCTGTTGTCTGCTCCTTGATCACTTCCCTCTGGCGAGGTGGCCTTGCCAGGCCACAGAGGAAGAGGATTCAGGCAGTCCTGATGAGACTTGATAGGCTGGGGTCTGTTAGTAGGGGAGGAGTGCCCCCCCTCTTTTGAGGAAACAAACAAACAAGTTTAATGTATCTGCCTCAAGTAAGCCTAAGTTTTTAGGTTCTGTTCTTGTTTTTAAGTCTGTCTCCAAATTTCTGAGTGAATAGATTTAAGACATATTTAATATGCAGTTTGTGGAGATTTTGACATGAAGAAGATGGAGGCGGGGCTTGTTGAGGCCAATTAAGGGAAAGCTACTTTCTTCTAGCATGGCTATTTTTATAGATTTTATATTTTGTTAAATAATTTTTGGTTTTAAAAAAAAAGGAAAAAGAAGAAAAAGATCTGAGTTGTATCCTTGAATCTCTGGCCCTGGGTATAGATATGACATTCTGAATGCCAATAAGATTACAGTGTTACATCAGGAAGGCTTCTGGAAAAGATAAGACTTATCATTGTCCCCACCTGTAAGTGTTCCTTCATACTGGCAGGTTTGGTGGCCTGTGCCTGTAATCCTGGCATTAGGAAAGTACAACAGGAAGGCCAGGAACTGAAGGTGATCCTCAGCTACATAGCTAGTTCGAGGTCAGCTTGGGTTTTGTGAAACCCAGTCTCAAAATCAAGTTGACCCAAATTGGTCTGGCAATTATGTAAATAGGAAAACACCCTTCAGGAAAGCTGTTTGTTCTAGAGACCTGAGAAAATAGTATTTACCCCTGGCCTAAACATGGAGGACCCCTCACAGTTGTTTTTTGAACCATTGTCCACTCTCACTCCAGGAGTGTTTTCTTCTGTAATGGTCTGTAACTAGCGCCTCCTCTCATCCTTTAAGGATGTAATAAAATCTCTCATTTACACTATACTGTGTCTCCTACCCACTCTCAGTTCTTTCTCACATTTCCTTAATTCATTTATAATCTAGTTTGTTCTTACTCATTATTTACATTTTATTTTTCCTGGGCTGAAGCTCAGGTGACATTGACCATTCTGTGTTTTAGCTCCCTGAGGTACAGCCAAAAAAGCTGTACCTCATGAAAGGCTCCACTGCACTTGAAGAACCCGTATCAAAAGTACCTGTTTCCAGGCTTGGCAATCCTAGACTTTAATCCTAGGAGAGGGAGAGGCAGACACAGGTGGATCTTTATGAGTTCAGGGCTAGCCTGGTCTATGTAGCTCATTCTAGACCAGCTAGGGTACATTGTGAGACTGTCTTAAAACAAATAAAAAACAATCACGCCTTACATTGAATGTACTAAAATCTGATGAACTGATTAGAACCATGATTGCAAAGATTTGAATATGACAGGTCCAAAACCTAGTTCGCTTTAGGCCATCTTTAAACACCTTAAAAGGTATTTCTTGCCAACCGTTTTGGCTAACTGAATAGTCTTGTGATTAGCTGGTAAAAGCCTTTTGAATGTATTTGTTTTTAAGATTTATTATTTTAATTAAATGTATATGTGTGTGCGTAGGTATGTGCACGTGTGCAGGTTTCTAGAGAGGTCAGAAAAGGGTGTTGGGCCTGCTAGAGCTGGAGTAACAGGCAGTTAAAAGTTTCCTGATGCAGGTTCTGGGAATCGAACCTGGGTCCTCCTGAAGAGCACTGTGTGCTTTTAACAGCTGAGCCCTCTCTCCAGCCCCTTTTGGACATTTCAGACCCTTGGCTTCCACCAACTCAAAAGTTAGGAATGTCATCCAAGGCCTACAGCAGAGAGTTCCAAGCTTTGTTTCATTCTTCTGGTTTCATTTCTACTGCTGTGAAAAATATCCTAATCAAAAGCAACTTTGAGGAAGCTTAAAGGGCTTATCTGACTTAAAATTCCAGGTGCTAATCCTTCACTGAGGAAAGTCAAGGCCGTAACTTGATACTATACCTGCTAGCTATTTCAGAGTTAACTCTGACTCAAGTATTAACTTTACAGCCAAAGAAGTATGGCAGGAGCTGTGGGAGATGATGCTTGCTAACCGGGCTACCTTTCTTACACAGTTCAGGACTACCTGCCTAAGAGTAGTCCTTTCTACTAGGGGCTGTGCTCTCTTCAGTTAAGGGTAGAGTCCCTTACGGGCATTCCTATCATTCAATCTGATACAGGCAGTTCCTCAGTTAAGACTGTCTTCCTAGCAGTCATGGTGGGGGTCAGGGTGCACGCCTTTCATCCCACCACTCAGGGAGCCAGAGGCAGGTGGACCTCTGGGAGATTGAAAAGAGCCTGGCCTACAAAGTTAGTTCCAGGACAGGCAGGGCTACACAGAGAAACCCTGTCTTGAAAAAC